CAGTCTAACAAAGCTGGTTATAAACATGTTACTTAGTAAATTCTCATGAACAATAGATCGGGTATATCAGAGCTTTTTCTGTTTGTAGAAAAATGTATGAGATTTACATAATAAATATATATTAAGGTATTTGCAACATATGTTTTTTTACGAACATTTCCAGATTACTAAGTAGTTATAATTTTAACATACAATAAAGTACTTATTCGTCAAGATAGCGCACAATATCAATAACACATGCCGTTGTAAGATCTCCCATATCCCACCAAATTTCTATATAATAAAAGTATAGCAATCTCAGATCTATACGTTGAGCTGGCAACATTGCAGAGCAATAATGCACAGTCATACACCCTCAAAAAATGTTTTAAGTAGCATGGAATTAAATCTTCGATCTCGATCTACGAGTATGTCTATAGTAATTGCATTATGCATCACCGAGATGTAGGGATTGACACCTTTTACACATATCGGTGTTTTAGGATGGAGGGTGTTCGAGTATTCGAGTGGACTGTATAGCGGCTGGTTCAAGAATGAAATTTCATTGTCGCCTACCTTTGATCCGGTATTCTGTCTAATTCTGGTTCGTATTCCTGGCGTAGCGGTGATGGAGGAGCGTGAAGATTGCGGGTGCGTTAGAGGTTCTGACTCTATGCGTTTGTTGCGTATATGCGGTTTCTGACTATATGCGGGTGCTGCGTAGACACGTGGTCTCACTGTATGCGGTTGCGGCGTATCTGCGTGGTCTTTCTGTGAGCTAGTATCTTTGTTCCTTTTACTGTCTTAGAAGCGCACGCCCGCGGGGTAGGCAAGCGACAACTCAGACCAGCCTTACAATAAAGCCAGCCCAAATATTCCTAACATACTTTTTTGGTTGGTGGAGACCAAGCAAAAATTTAGCGTAAAGATAAAAAAAGAAGATGAAATATTTCAATAGAAATGAAATTTAACCCTTAACAGGAAACGTGAATTTTTGGAACACAAAAGGAAACATGCCGTCTCTCAGACTGCGAACTTCAAGATGTTCAAAAAATTAGAGTAAGGCGAAAAGCAAGCAATAACTTCGCTGAAACTGATACTGGATGTTTATTTTATGTGTTTAATACGTAAAATGCTCATTTCAAAATGATACAAGAACATAAAAGAAACATTTTTATTAACTATGCTAAAACCACAGCCTTCTTAAACTAACTAGTTTACTAGTTAACTAGTTTAAGAAGGCTGTGGCTAAAACCATACAAAAATAACGCTGTTGTTGCAACATTCAGAAACTAAATTAAAACTATGGAAAAGTCTCAATATTTTTCTATTTTCTAGTTAAGTAATGAACAAGGAAAGTATATTATAGTCAATAAATACAAAAAGAACACAATCAAAATTCACTGCAAGTCTCAAACATTGCCTATATTTATGCAGCTAATACATTTGGGTTTGGAGCATTGAAGACATACAGGCTTCCTACATTGTACACACAAAAATTTGGTCATCCGATGGGTCGTTCGGTGACATAAAAAGCAGGCTTTCCTTTTTTCCAAAACCAAATTTTCAGCTTCTGTTGCTGGATGTTCACATTTGCCAAGGATGCGATTTATCGTAAGTCGCAAATCCCGAGGTAAACGGGGACTCTCTAGTCGCTTTTCCATATGCTCACGGACCAGGTTAGCGGCCAACATCTTAGCAAATACCGATTTTTCCTTCTGCAATTCATTTTTCTTATAGCACTGGTGTAAAATATACGAGTTCACTACCGATATATCCAATAGTCGGTAGAAAATAACCAGTGGCCACCTACGCGAACGGCGACTTGAGGTACTCTTCGAACATTTTTCATCAAGAGAATCAACTCCACCTTTATTAGCATTGTAATAGGCTATTATTTCCGGTTTCTGTGTTTCCGGATCACAATATTTTTTGTGGTGCATAGAAGATATGAGTATTGTGGCTTTATTTTTTTTGCTTACATGAGACACAATAGTGGAATCTTCTCGAAATCCGTACATTGTTGATCCGACTTCTCTTGATTTGTTGGGTAAAAATGCCGGAGGAATTTCTCTTTTATTTTTCTTCATTGTACCCACATAGGTCAGTTTGTTCTTCAATAGGACATCCATTAATTCTATTGACGTAAACCAGTTGTCCGCTGTAATGTTGCGATTAGTTCCAAACAGAGGCTTCGCGAGACGTAGAACTGATTGTGTGGGTTTGGAATACCGCTTGTGTTCCTCAGGAAGTTCGAAACTATCGGAATCTTTACCGCAGTATATATATGCGTTATAGAGGTAGCTATTCCTTGCATCCGTCAATGCCATAATTTTTATGCCATATTTGCAAGGTTTCGCAGGCATATACATTTTAAATCGACATCTTCCTCTGAAACTCACGGGCATTTCATCGACAATGACAGACTGGCCAACTCCGTACACATCTTGACAGTTCTTTATAAAACTATTAAAAATGAAAGATATTGGTGCTACTGGATCTAGCTTCTTTCTTTCATTCCTGTCATCTGGGTTATCAAACCTTAAGGCTGACAGGAGAATACCAAATCGTTTTATGTTCATGACAGCTCTGAATATATCTCTTCCAGAGCCATCGGTGGCAAAAAGTGTTACAATGTTCTCGTGGTTGCTGTTGAACACCGATGTATATACTAAGAGACCCAATAGTGCCTTTATTTCGACTAAATCAGTGTCGTTTAGGTTGCTGGTTTGATTTTTGTATCTCTTTCGCATTTCTTTGAGCTTGTGATTGTGATTGGTCCACTTAACGATATGTACCAACATGTCGTCAGTGAACAAAAGCTGCCAAACCGTCAACGGAGCTGCTTCTTCTCCATATTCATGAGCTTTTCCTCTTAGAGTTGGTACTTTAATGACTATATTGTGCTTCCTTGTACGTGATGATGGTACAACTTCCGAAATATTCCACCTATGACGATTTTTTCCATAGAAATAATTCTGAGCTGGTAAATCCTCTTCATTTCCTTCGGCTCCGTCTTCTGATAACTCACTATCACTTGTATGATCTGATTCCATGTATTCGTCTTCTGAGGCACTGTCTATATCACTAAAGTCACTTCCTTCATCCTCAAACCATTTTAGAACGGTTTCTTCGAACTCCGGATCATCGTATCGTACACGTTTAGAAGGTCCCGCCATACTCGCAAACGCACCTATGCAACACAAATAGCAAACGGGAACGGAAACGTGCCGTCTGACAGACTGCAACAAACTAAAATTGGTCCATATTTTAAGGCACGTTTTGGCTAGACTCGTGTGAATGGGGGTGGGCGATGGTCACTAATAGCTTATGGATTAGATGGGTTTTTACGTCTGTTAGAGGTGCAATAAAAAAAGATACGCTCAGGTATAGAAACGCCGCAGTCTCACAGACGGCACCTTTCCGGTTAAGGGTTAAGAAAAGCAAATATACGATTCGCCTGAGAAAAATTACTTAAAAACTAAGCTTAAGCTAAAATAAAGTATTACAACGAGACTGACTGAGACTATTGCTCCGGTAATGGGCAAAGTTTATTAATGGGGCGCTTGTGGGTACCTTGGCTTGTGCGAATTAGAGCGACTCTAGCGACTTGATCTTTACCGGGAAAAAGTTTTTCTATGCGAGCCAGGACCCAATTCATAGACGGCATATTATCCTGCTTCACAACCACCAACGCACCTACTTTAGGTTCAACCGCTGGAGTATACCACTTTGCCTTTTGATGAAGAGAGTGGAGATACTCCTGATGCCATCGCAACCAAAAATCTTTATGTAAGCGTAAAAATAATTGATATATGTATATCTAAGCGATTGATATTTAAATTAGAAAAGTCAGGATCAGGGAAACACGATAATGAATTCAACGTTAGAAAATGACCAGGGCTCAATGCCGTAAAGTCGTTGGGGTCTGAGCTCAAAGCACACAGTGTCCTCGAGTTCAAGAGCGCCTCTATCTGAACTAAAACTGTATTCAATTCTTCATATGTCAAAATCTGCGATCCAATAACTCGGGATACATGCGTTTTGACGGATTTTATTCCAGCTTCGTAAATTCCCCCAAAATTAGAGGCATAAGGCGGATGGAAAAGACCATTCAATTTCCTCTGCTTGGGCACAATCTTTAATAACTTTAAGCAGATAGTTGTTAGCGCCTGAAAAGTTAGTACCATTGTTGCTAATAATTTTTGAACATTTTTCACGTCTGGCTATGAATCTACGTAATGCATGCACATAGAAAATTCTCAGTAGAAAGATCTTATACGAGTTCAATATGTATGGCCTTAACAGCGCAACAGACAAATATCCCTACAGTGGTGAAAAGTTTTGATTGAGTTACTCGATCAACAGGTAAGCGTCCCATAATGAGTTGGTACAGGTCGACTGCGCCAGCAAGTAACACAACGTCATACTACTTTCTTTACAGCACGACACGAAGTTAAAATTCAAATTCAAATTCAAATTCAAAATATTTATTTCGTCATAAATAAACATCATAAACAAAAGAAATTCTACATATAGAGCAATGACGAAAAAGGACAGTCTCTCGATTATAAAACCGATACATTGGACCCTTTAATACAAAGAGTCCATGCGAGAAAGCCCTGAACACCCTAAAAGTCGTAAACAAAATAAAAAAAAACAACAAAGAGGCAAATGAAGAGGCGGTGAAACACAAAAAGGCAAAAACGAAGAGAGAACCCCCGGGAGCTGGCAACGGACGCGAAAAACAAATCTATACAACCTGTCAGCGAGTAGGAATGTAAAAACGATATTTTTGCTCACACAAACGCTGCTAAAGTAGCTGGTGATTCTGTAACAACGTTTTTGTCAGTTTTGAGAATGTTTTTGACGATGAGCTTTTAACTGAAGTTCGTAAATTATTCCATAAGTGAACCGCCACATAGGCAAACGATCGTCGGAAGGAACGCGTTCTATGCTTAGGTACGATAAAATTGATATTATTCTTCAGTCCGGTCCACTAGAACACATATTGTAGAATGCGATTCGGTAACGAAGCGGGCCACCTGTGAAAAGTAACATGGATCCCCATCTCCAGACCCTGAGCTATACGAATATCTCATTATGCTTTTTGGTGCGAAGGAGTGTGGTCGCCTCTTGTTTACCTTTTTTGCGTGTTCACAATGTCGTCAAATAGGAAACGTGTGATTATAATTAAAGAAAAATTGAAGAAATTAGAGGAAATGCTACAGGACGTCTCTACAAGTAAGTACGATGTTTATTATTGTTTTGTGTATCAGGGAAACGCGGTTATGGTGAAAATGGCCTTAGGCGTCATCTACCGACATGATGAATTTGTTTTTAAATGATTTGTAGGCGAAATTTAGCATTCTACTACTTGAAGGTTAATTTCTCGTACAAAACGGCCTTACTCGCCGTTTGATTCATCATGATAAAAATATGTTATTATCTAAAATGGCTTTACTCGCCATACATATGTATATGTATAACTAAAAAACAGCCTTGCTCGCTGTTTTTTGTAAGTTACTGCTTTTAGTAAATATCCCACATACCATTATGAGTCGAGGTAATTTGCTGTCTTTGCAAAATTACTAAGCAGAGTTTGAATAGCCATTCTCGCTATTTAGACATATTGAATTAAAAATGAAAAACTGGCATTCTTGTTTCTTAGGTGGGAGTGACCAGGATATAGAACCCCGTAGAAAGAGAATTCGCCGCATAAGTGTTTCCTCATCAGATTCGGTTCACAGCGATGTTAATCAGGGTAATATCGTAGAGGTCGATGTTCACAGAGAAGCAGAACTTTCTCCAATACCCTCTGATAAAATAGATAGTATAAATAAAATACTGGGAACTGATCCATCCATGCCTAAGGTTATGGGCAAGCCAGTGAGTGATCAGGTGGCCTCTAGGCTAAATTATTACGCAACCAATGGGATGTCTAGCGATGAAAAAGAAAAAATAAGACTCGAGTGGCCAACACCTGAAAACTGCCTCTCTTTCAACTCACCTACCTTAAATCCAGAGATTTTAGCACTTCTTTCGCCTACCGATCAGAAAAAAGATTCCTTTATGTGTCATATTCAAAATGAATAGCTGGAAGCTTAAGTGCTTTATCATCAGTGATAAGCAAACTGTTAGATATAGCAGACTTCCCTAATGTTGTAAAAGAAATAATATCTGATCAAATGACAGCAGGAAAACTTCAGTGCAACGCCCATTTTCAGTTATCAATGCATCGCAGACATCAAGTCTATCCTCTTTTAAAATCTGACATGCAAAAACTAGCCAAAGAATCTAAAATGGATAATTTTCTCTTTGGAAAAACATTCATGGAGAAATGTAAAATTAATCAAACTATAAATAAATCTGCAGTAGAGCTGCAGGTGAGTAAAGTTCCTGCAAGCAGCCAAATCTTTAATAGGAGCCATTTAAACTGGCAGCGCCCCAAAACGTCTGTACGTTTTCGGAAAAGTCAGTTTGTACTAAACAAGAGAAAGGAGCCTCGAATACAAGAGAGAAACAGAAATCAATGGAGATCATCGAGAGGGAACCTAGCCAGATACAATTACCGAAACCGACAAATTCAGTAGAGGTAAATGTTAACAATATTGCTTTATTTGCCGGTAGACTAAAGTATTTTCAAAAATGTTGGAAATCTATAACATGAATGACAGATTTATTCTGAGCTGTATAATTGGCTACCGTTTACCATTTTTTCATACTCCTAAACAGTTAGTCCTGCCAAAAACCAAAAGTTACAGTAAAATAGAATTTAAGAACCTTAAAGAAACAATCAATAAATTAGAAGCAATAGGCGCAATCAATAAATGCCAACCGTGTAAAAATCAATTTCTATCTTCATATTTTTCAGTACAGAAACCAAACGGAAATCAGAGATTTGTTATAAATCTAAAACAATTAAACAAATATGTAACAATTGTAACACATGTAACACTTTAAAATGGAAAATTATACAATTGTTAAAAATATAATTACCAACAGAGTATATATGGCCTCTCTAGACTTAAAGGACGCCTATTTCTGTATACCGATTTACAAAAAACATAGGAAATATTTAAGATTTACGTTTAACAAGGTTTTGTACGAACTCTCTTGCTTACCGTTCGGCCTCTGCTCTGCCCCTTATATTTTTACCAAACTATTAAAACCAGTTATTTCATTCTTACGAAACAAAGGTTTTTATTCAGTTAATTATTTAGACGATTTATTATTGTTAGGGCATAGTATAGATCAGTGTCTGACGAATATAACCGTAACCACTTCACTCTTAGATTCCTTGGGTTTTGTTGTAAATTACAAAAAGAGCCAATTAATACCCAGTAATATTTGCAAATTTTTAGGTTTTCTTTATGATAGCATAAACATGTGCATGACACTGCCAGCTAGCAAAAGACATGATACCTTGTTGAAAATTGACACATTTGTTAAGTTTAATAGTTGTAAAATAAGAGAGTTTGCAAGACTTTTAGGATACCTTATCTCGATTTGTCCTGCTATAAAATACGGTCTTATGCACACAAAATGCTTAGAAAGATATAAATATCTAGCATTGAAAAATTCGAATAACAATTATAACTCGCAAATGATAATAACACTCAAAATAAAAAGAGAATTAAATTGGTGGATGACAGCAATTCCAAAATCACTTGTCCCGCTTAGGCCTCAGGATTATAAAGTGGTAATTTACTCCGACGCTTCAAATGTCGGATGGGGAGCCTCGGCAGGTCCAGAATCTACCCAGGGTTTTTGGAGTTTACAGGAATCTAAATTTCATATTAATTACCTTGAATTGCTAGCAGCCTATAATGCTCTAAGATGTTTTGCAAGAGACCTTAAAGACTGCTCCATTTTGTTAAAAGTTGACAATACCACCGCCATATCCTACATTAATCGTATGGGAGGTGTAAAATATAAGAAATTGTCTGAGTTGTCGAAAGCAATCTGGCAGTGGTGTGAGTCTAAAAATATATATATTTTTGCAACTTATATTGAATCCTCTCGTAATGTGGTAGCTGATTTTGAATCAGGGACGCTTACATAATTCAGAAACTGAATACGAGTTAAACTCTTTAGCTTTTAAGAAAATTGTTCACACTTTTGGCCTTCCTAACATCGATCTGTTCGCATCCCAGCTAAACAATAAATGTAAACAATATATTTCCTGGAAAAAAGATCCGAAATCAATAGCTGTTGATGCTTTTACGATAAGTTGGTCAAATATATTTTTCTATGCATTCCCTCCTTTTTCTTTGATAATGAGAACGTTGAATAAAATTATCAAAGATGAGGGGGAGGGGATAATGGTGGTCCCTCTGTGGAGGGCACAACCTTGGTACCCAATTTTCAATAAGATTCTCAAGTCAAAATTGGTTTATTTAACTCCTAATAGAAATCTTTTATTATCTCCAAATAGGGAACCACATCCGCTTTGGCCAAAGCTTACCCTGGTGTCAGGAATTTTATCAGGGAAGCTCTTGCTCCAAGAAGACTGACGGAATCAGCTTTAGAAGTAGTTATCTCTTCATTAAATCCTCATACACTGAAACAATACAATACCGCATATAAAAAATGGTGGGAATTTTGCATCCGTAGAGCAATAGACTGCTTTAATCCCTCAACAGCAGATTTCGTTGATTTTCTAGATAATAGTTTTAAGGAGGGTGCTAGTTATACAACACTGAATACGTTTAGGTCATCTTTTAATTTAATTATAAATAAGGAAGTTGATGAGAAAGTTATTAGTAGGTATTTGAAAGGTGTATTTAAGATCAAACCTGTGTTCCCAAAATATCAAGCAACTTGAGACCCAAATCCCGTAATGGCATATTTGTCATCTTTACATCCCCTTTCTTCCCTAAGCTTTGCAGACCTAACCTATAAGCTGGTTATGCTGTTCGCCTTAGGCACAGCACAAAGATTACAAACTTTTTCAAAAATTAAAATAGATAATATTTATCAAAGAACTGACTTCATAGAGATTTTAATACCGGATATCCTAAAAACATCAGGCCCCGGTAGGATCCAACCTAGACTGAGACTCCCCTTCTTTAGAGAGACCCCAGAGCTATGTCTATCTAGCACATTGATAGAATATTTAAGTAGAAGTCAGAACATAAGAAATAATATACGGGAGTTATTTTTGACCATTAAAAAACCGTACCATCCAGCCTCGACTCAAACTCTTTCCAGGTGGTTATAGAAAATTCTAGGCCTGGCTGGAATAAATACTGGTACATTCTCTGGATACAGTACTAGGCATGCAGCTGTTTCTGCAGCCTACAGATCAGGTACTAACATTGAAACTATAACAGTAGGCTGGTCAGAACGGTCCAACGTGTTTTTTAAGTTTTATAATAGGCCGTTAGATAGCAGTTTTTTCATAAATAGCGTACTAGCTGGTACGGAAAACAAACAACTCAGGTCGTGCAGGGATTAATTACATTACTACCTACTAAAATATTGTGTTAGACTCTAGTTACGTTTGTTGGTCTATAACATATAGGTTTAGAATAAGGACGTTTCTATATCGTATGTTCTATTTCTTGTTACGTTGTTGTTATTGTATATAAACTAATTGTTAGTTGTTCTGCCATAATTAATATAAAAAAAAAGTTAAGGAAATATATGAAAATTTTTTGTTCTCACAATTTGTATTAAAATACTTTATATTCAATGCATATCTAATAATTTTATTATTCCTTAATTCCTCTTTATGTTATTACATAATGACATTTGCTAGCTCATTTAGTACTTTAAACATCTACGATATGTGTTCTAGTGGACCGGACTGAAGAATAATTTGAGATTAAACGACTTACCTAGTAAGGAAGTTCAATCGGAATTATTCGAGGTCCGGTCCACTAGAACACATCCCACCCCATCCTAGACGCGTAGTACCGCATACCCAAAAAATAAAATGACTAGCAAATAAAAAGCATAATGAGATATTCGTATAGCTCAGGGTCTGGAGATGGGGATCCATGTTACTTTTCACAGGTGGCCCGCTTCGTTACCGAATCGCATTCTACAATATGTGTTCTAGTGGACCGGACTGAAGAATAATTCCGATTGAACTTCCTTACTAGGTAAGTCGTTTAATCTCAAATTATTTTTGCTTCTCTGGGGACTAGGCAAAGACACAAATCTTTCTCTTAAATAGGGCGGTTGACCTGTTTTTATAACCCTATAGATAAAAAATACATGTGATATTTTCTGCGATTCGTCATGTTTAATATGTTGTAGTTATTCAGATAAGGAGTGATATGGTTTCGATATGGAATTCCAAACGCAAATCTCATGCAACTATTTTGAACTTTTTGTATGCATTTTTTGTTTCGCGACGATAGCGAATCACCATAGACGACATCTCCATAGTCAAAAAGTGATAAAATTAAGGTATTACACAAATAATATTTTTGTTTGGCTGATAAATGTCTTTTTAATTTGTTTATATTTTTTAGTCGCATGTAAGCTAAATTTGTTCTGTTTTTTATATGACTGCCGAAGCCAAGCGAGCTATCAAATATAATGCCTAGATTTTTTGTCTCCTGAACTATGGGGATTCTGTCATTGTTAATAGAAATTACTAAATTTTGTTCAAAATGTTCTCTTCCAGTACTGTTTTTATTCATAACCATTACTTGCGATTTTGAGGGGTTTCGTTTAAGATTGTGATGCTTTGCACATCTGTCAATTCATTGGAGATCTGAATTTAGTTGTTGTTGTGCAATATGGATTGTGGTTTTATTGACAGGGAGATATATTTGTGAGTCATCTGCATATTGTTTTATCTTTGCGAATTTTACCGATTTGACCATGTCAGATATGTAGACTGAAAATAGCAAAGGAGATAAAATTGAACCTTGAGGATCTCCTCTTTTTATAGGTTTAAAATCGGTTTTGTAAATAGCAGAATCATTTGCTAACATAACACAGTTTGAACGGTTGCTTAAGTATGTTTTTATTAGATTTACCGAGTTCTGCGAAACCCCTGGTAATGTAACTTAGCTAGTAACATTTCATGATTCAGAGTGTCGAACGCTTTACTAAAATCGAGAAGAACCATGCACGTACTATTTTTTTGTTCTTGATGATGTCTGATATCATCCAAGATATTAACTAATGATGTACTTGTACTAAAGTTTTTTCTAAAACCGGATTGACTATCGGGTATGATATCGTTTGTTTCACAAAAAAATCTAATTTGATTATAAATATGCCTTTCTGAAATTTTGGATGTAGCGGATAATATGCTAATAGGCCTCAAGTCTGTAAATTCTTTAGGTTCTGCTATTATTGGTAAGGGTTTAACAATAGCTTTCTTCTATATTTCTGAAAAATAATCCCCCCAAAATACATGTGTTGATTATATTCAGCAAGGCATTCGTACAAAATGGGATACATAACTTTAGGTCTCTCATAGAGAAACCATCCTCTCCAATGGCATTTGATGAGATATTAGTTACAATTTTGATTAGACTGGCCCTGTCTAACAGTTGGGAGCTAAGAGAATCGTTAATGTTTACATTGTTTTTGTAAAAATTGATTAATTCTTGGGAACCAGTGTCTGGTATGTCATTTACATTTTGTAAGTTTTTGGGTATAGTTGAGTGAGTTTTCTTGCATGTTATGTTGAGCTTTTTGGTAGTGTCCCAAAATTCCTTACCTTTCTTTGTTGAGAGTAAGTTAAAGAATGTATTTTTTTCTCGGATAATTGCATGCTTTGTATAGTTCCTTAGTTGTTTATAATATTCAAAATGAGCCTGTGATTTTGATTTTTGAAATTTTTTATTAGCTTTATCTCTTAGTCTGATTAAAATTCTTATATTTTGAGTTATCCAGGGTACATAAGGTTTTTCGGTTATTTGTTTTGTTTTTATCGGAACATGTTTATTCAGAACAGTTACTATATTTTTATTAAAGACTTCTATTTTTTGGTCGATTTGGTTAGTAAATATCCTCCCACCCCACCCAAGTAGAAACCCTTCATTTAAGAAGGATTCTCTATCTATATTATTGTAGTCTCTATATTTAATAGTCTTTTGTGATTTATTTATTTTTGACTTTCGAAAGGCTGAATAAATTAAGTTATGATCTGAGAGATTTTGAGAAACTGCCAATGATTTAGAATCAATAGAGATAAGATCCTCACTAGCACAGACTATATCAATGAGGCTAGCCTCTCTTGTGGCAAAATTGAACCTTGTTGGCTCACCGATCCTTTGTGATAAGTTAAAACTATGAATTATATTTTTGAGGCGATTTGTGTATGCAGAATTATTTAAAATGTTAATATTTAGATCTCCTATCAGTAATAAGTAATCATATTTGAGACTGACAAAACCGAGAAAATTTTCTAGGAGTCTAAAAAATAAGTGACACTCTCAGACGGCGAACGATAACTATTAACTAAAAGATAAGTTTTTCCACCTATCTTAAATTCTATACCTATGGTTTCTGCACAGTTAATTTCCACATTTACCCTTGAATATTTCAACCCGCTTTTTATGTATAAAGCTACCCCTCCTCCTCGACCCTGCCTATCATTCCTTATAAATTTGTACCCAGGCAAGCAAAAACTCTCGCTTCTTAAAGTTGGATTGAGCCATGTTTCAGAAACTCCAAAAATATCAAAATTGTATTCTGTCATATAATTACAGAACTCGTCAAATCCAGAATTTATGGATCTGATATTTAGATGTCCGACTGTGAAATAGTTTTGATGTGGACTATCAAATATTGATTCATCATTAACATTCTCCACTCGCTGACCCATGTTATCATTATCCATTATCCCTTATTTCCTCATTATTGCCAGTTTCCGAAGACCAATAGTATATAGGCCTATAGTAGCTCAGAGCTTCACAACGACACAAAACGTGCGCCGAGGTGTCTTCCTCTAACCCGCAGCGTTCACACAAGGGATCCTCAGCCACCCCCATCACGTGCAGGTGACGGTCAGACAACAGTCCCACCAGCAACCTTAGGTTGGCTCTATCCAGTGATAGACAGAAGCGTCCATCCTTCGAACTGGGCCCTTCAATGAGTTCCCGTGCCTGGCGGAGATGTCTGGAGATACTTCTCCATTTCTGAGAGTGTTGTCTTGCAACCCACGTCTCCATTTTCCTCCTAGCTTTATGCGCGGTCACTCCTAGAGCTGGCTCAGGACCAACGAGCTTGCTGGCTGATCCTGTCTTCGCCAGAGTGTCCGCCGTCTAATTGCCCCTTATCCCAGCGTGCCCCGGTACCCATATTAATGATACCGGATGCCTCGCTGCGAGGCAATCCAGAGCTTCCTTGCATTGCAATACAAGTCTCGAAGTAATCTTACAGGCACTTAGTGCTTTCATTGCAGCCTGGCTGTCGGATAAGATTGTTAGGCCCACCCTCCTCCAGAATGTGAGATACACAAGCCAGAATCGCAAAGATTTCCTCCTGGAAAATAGTGGTGCATCCACCGAGAGGCAGGGATGGCCTAGTTCCAGGCCCAGAGTCCCCAGCATCTGAGCCCTCTTCGGTGACCGACACAGACCTGCCCGCTACCGGCGTCCCACTCCTCCCTCGTTAGATGCTCTACAATAAACTTGCGGTTGAAGCGATATCTAGGATTCAAGAAAGCCCAGCTGCCCAGACTCCACAGTCGATGAGCGACTACTCTCGCTTCATCGCGGATCACCAGATCCAACGGTGGGAGATCCAACAGAGCTCCATTGCACTGCGCTTGTAATACTAATTCAGGCCAAACGCTGAATTTTATCAAGTTTGGCCTTAGTTGTCTCAGTTCTAATGCAAGGCCACCAGACCAAGGAGCCGTACAAGAGAGATGGACGTACTATCGTCGTGTAGAGCCAGTATACCGCTTTGGGTTTAAGCCCCCACCTTACACTGACAACACCTCTACAGGCCCACATCGAGTTGCGAGCCTTGCTAACCTTGAATTCAACATGCTCTCCCCAGTTCAGTTTGCAATCCAGGATATTTGCCAGATATCTCACTGACTGGGACAATATTAATCTAGTCGACCATCAATAAGAATGCGTTGGAACAAATCTGCATTCAAAATTAATTCTTAATGGTTGAGAAATGAAGAATTCCGGGTCACCCCATTCTAAGTCCTTGATATGAGACCCTTCTCTCACATCAATCGTAGTAGAAGGCATATTACCACAAATTTTATCCAAGACAATAGCATCGAGGTTTAAGGTAGGCTGGGATTTATTTAGAGGGGTAACAGTAACCGACATTTGGCCTAAATTATTATACATTTACATACCTCCTAACCCGTAAACAGTAACAGCACTCTTTTTTCTCGGTAAAGCTAGTTTTTCTGCGAATTTTTTAAAAACATAACAACACTCACTTCCTGTATCTATGAGTGCTCTACATGTTTGTTTATTTCCCAAAACATCGAAAATATTAACCTTCAGCGTAGACAATAGTACTTTAGAAGAACGAGCGAAATAATTTGTAGTTAGCTGGGACACTTCTTGCGGACTCGGGGCGAGTGGCCAGCGTACACTGAGTATTTGAAATATTATTTTCCAAAGATCATTAGAGGGTTGCAAAGTATTTGTGTATTGAATAACATGCAGCTGCGAGTGATGCTTTGCGTTACATATGCGACATGTATGAACTGACATACACCTACTGTTAGAATGACAACTACTCAAACAGTCTGTGCACAGCCTATTGCGTTTAACTATAGAAAGTCTCTCCTGAGGCGATTTCTTAAGTAAGAGCGGACTTTTATAGATTAAATGATCAGAATTTTTGCATAAGAAGCAAGAGCGGGTTGGCACAGGAGATGAATCTGTGCGGGTTAATAGCGATCAGCTAGTACGGTGGTTTAGATGATTATTATTTGTGCGTGTATGCCTGTGACGCGAGTGAGAGGAATCATTTATATTAACATATGCGTTACATTGACGTTTTAAAAACTCTGCAACATCTTTGTAATGCGGTATTTCGTCAGAAGCACTCTGTAATTCAAATCGTGAGAGTAAATTTGAATCTAAGCGTGTAAGAAGCGTATTGATCAAAATAACGTCCCATTCTGCTACGGGAAAACCAAAATTTTTCAATGCGGCAATATTTTCAGTATATGTTTCTAGTAGTTTCTCGAGCTGAGCGGGATTTTCAGAATTCATGCGTAGCGTAGTCTCAATTTCGTTCCAGTGTGAAGTTGCTAAAAGCCGTTTATTAATATAGTTGGACCTTAGTGCTTGACAAGCTACTAAATAATTGGACGAAGTTAAAGGATAGCACTGTAACATACCTTTAGCAGACCCATCAAC